GGTGACATCATCATAATGTGAAGCACGGTGGTGGCAGCATCATGATGTAAGCATGGTGGTGACATCATCATAATGTGAAGCACGGTGGTGGCATCATCATAATGTGAAGCATGGTGGTGGCAGCATCATAATGTGAAGCATGGAGGTGGCATCATCATGATGTGAAGCACGGTGGTGGCATCATCATGATGTAGGGATGCTTCTCAGCAGAAGTAATTGCAGCTGAATATGTATATATAAAATACTAACTACAAGGAGGTGAATACTTATGCAGTCACTTATTTTGCATCTTATATTTTTGATTAATTCACATGAATTTGACGAAAGCTGTTTTTACTTGAACACAACAGTCCTTTTTAAAATAAATTCTTGTCAAAAAAAAAGATAAATTCTGTTTCCTATGATTCATTGTTTAAAGTGGAAAACTTAATAGGAGGGTATGAATACTTTTTATAGGCACTGTATTACTGCACTCGTCTAAAACAGTGACGCAACACTGGACCTCTGAGGAGCTGCTTTAAAAGCTCAAACACTCATGAATCACTCAGAACTACAGCTGAGGAGCTGTAAACTTGTAACTCCTCCTCATTCAGCCATGGGAACTTCATGATGGTGACGTACTTGTAACAGCTCCGGAGAAGAACAGAGACATGTTTGTCTGCAGCGTCTGTCGATCTGTGAAAGAAATCAGAAACCCGACACACAGCAGTGAGACACCGGCCGACTTTCAGCAAACACAATGAAAAGGCCAAACTAGCCCCGAGACAGAGAGTCTAAAACCAGGCTGGAGAGGTTTGTTTTAGTCAGCGTCAGGATAATAGTAAGAGAATAATCAGGGATCATGTTGTTAACCCTCTGAACTATAAACGGTTTTTGGGTTGTTTTGTCTCATTTGTCTTCACTGTGGTTCATTTTTCACTGCACTAGAAAGTCTTCCACCTCTATGGAAACACAACAGCATGACGGAGAGAGAACTCAGACATGTCTTCTGTCAGAATGACACAGTTATAAATCATAAAGTAAGAAAAGAAGGTGGATTTATTTGACTATTTGTTTCACAAAAATGGAAAAAGCTCATCAACTATAGAAAGATGTTTCACCATTCTGAATGTGTCTCCAACAACTTGCTCCTCTGTTCACTGTTTTTGAGCCATGATGCATTGATTTATTGATCCAGTAGGTTTTATTTTCCTCTCTGCTCAGTGGAAACACTTCCTGCAGTTCAACCTGAAAAAAATCTGACTTTTTGTCACATTTGTGAATTCTTTTTTTCCTTTTTTACATAAATTCATTAAAGCAGATGCTTTACTTGTGGCTATTTTTTAAAAAATGAAACGTGTAGAATGAAGTGTTTGAGATTAAATATAATTTAAAGCTTCTATATCGCACATGATTTGTTAAAGAACAACACTCTGAAAGCTGAATGTCTGACGATGCTTTCTGTTTCTGGAGATAAATTATGTTATTTTGGCGATTCTTTAAAAAAGATAACATGATCTTCAAATCCCTGGTAGGTTTTGGGGTTCAGAAAGTTAACTGGAGCTTCATTTACTCAAACAGACGTTTTTGTTTATCAAAAGGATTAAATATCAGAAAAATGCAGAGATTTCAGTCAAAGAAGGAAAAAAAAACACACACACCCAAAAAATTCAGCATCAGGAAAAACCCTGAAAGCATTCTGACGTTTCTGCTTTTCTTTCTTAAGATCCTTAAAAAACCCGTCACCGATGTGAAGTTTCTGTCCTTTTAAAGGACACAGTTGTTCTGTTGGGGACTATTTTAAGTGGCGGATTAATGCACATTTAATGAGCATCTGCAGCTGCAGGACGGCGACTTTAGGACCGCGTCCAAATAAACTGCAGAGTGTTCTTAGCTCTGTGGCACAAAGGAACAAGATGTGAGACTTTTATAGTCACATTTAAAATAAAACACACAACAACACAGAAAATGAAAATAAAGATAAAAAAACAAAGCTTTGCTCATAGAGAATCCAGGATATGTTCGGGTTAAATGTTTGTTTTCGGAACTTTAGTTCTAAATTTGTCAAATTATTCTCCATAGTTACTAAAGCTCAGCTTTAACGGTGAAACTAGTTCAGTTAAGCTTCATAGTTATCAACACTGGAGGGTCTCAACATTAATATGAGTTACCTTTAGGTGAAGGGGTGTTTTAAAGAATGTTTTTATGTCTCTAATATGTAAATTACTCCGTTAAAGTCACACCATAAATAACTTTACAGGCTCCTAACCTCAAAATTTAAACTTGTTAAGTTAATTCATAATCGTTTTTTTTTTTTACTAGAAAGCACTTTTAATGTTCTGTATGAAACAGTAACTGGACTTGATTTGACATTTTGCTGCTGATTTGACTCCTGACAAGAATAAAGACAGAGCTGCCAGTGTTTTAAAACGGGCTCAGAGATCTAAATAAAACCTTTTTCTGTGACTTCAGCGCTTCTTTCTGCCTGAATTAAAGCCACTTAAACTCCATTTATCCCTTCAGAGCTGATCAGAGGAGTCTGCAGGGATTAACGGACTCTGCAGGAGAATTGAAGTCTGATCCAAACTGATCAGTCGACTAAAGCGGTGCAGGATATTTATACAGACACGCAGCAGAAGTTGAGTTTTTGTGGAGAAGTCTTACCGTGGATGTGGTTCCTGCTGCAGTGTTCTGTGTTGATCCTCTGTCACATCCTGCAGCGACCGAGCTGCAGCCTGAGAACACAACGAACCACAAAGTGAGAAAAACAGCAGTGAGGGGCTGAAACCGTGAGCTCATGTTTCCTGTTAACTCTTTATCTGCTGAGAAACACTCAGAGGCCTTCGGGTCCTTCTAGGCTTTTATCTGAACTCCAGATTTCTTCAGGGCCTGTGAAGCAGCTGCTTTTGGAAATAAAGTTTATTATTAAGTACAAAAGTTCATACATGTTCAAACTTTTCCTGTTTGTTAAGCAGATGTGCCACTTTTTAACTTTAACATAAACTGCACAACGATTCCATCTGAAACGTACTGAGTTTAATCTTAAATTAAACAGTAACAAAAACATTAATGTCGTTTGCAATATTACTTCTTCAGCAGTTTGTGCAACATCAGTTTCATAATATTGCAAAATGTCTTTATCATGTGCAGCATTACTTCACTATTTCAGAGTCGTCACCAGTTTAACTTCCTGCTTTTCTATTTTCATCTTATTTTATCTTCTTTTGATTCTTACTAATGTATCAAACTTGCATCTTGTTGCTTTTCTATTAGAATCTGCATTTATTCTCATGTTGTGTATTTTTTTCTGAATAATGAACGTCTTCATCACATCAGAATGTAGACGTTTCCTCAACTAGTTTAAAATGAATCAACCAAGAAAATAAAAGAAAAACAAACATATGTTCTGTTTTAAGACTGCTTATTTTAGTGGTTCATGTTGAGCAGCAGAGTCGCACTAATTTCTCCTCCTTTAAGAAAAACTCTTTGACTGAATTATTGGAGCGATTTGACAGAAAAACAGAAACTCAACAGTTGGATGAACTTAATTAGTTTTTTTTGTCAATTTGCCTCAAAAAAGCAGCAATTTTAAAAGTTAAAACTGTATCAGCAGTTTATTCAGACGAGGTTCTCAAAAGATATTTAGTTTATTCTCACAGAAGAAGAAAGAATCTGAGAATTTAGACTCGTTTAAAAAAAACAAAAAACAAACAGAATTCATTATCGAAATAGCTGCCGATTTACATGAAAGCTGATGATTGGATTATTCATCACAGCTCTCATCAATAAAAAACAAACGTAACCTTTTTATTTTCTATTTGATGTAAATGTCTAATACTTATGTCTGTGCAACACTGATGGATCAAAACTAACAATATGTGTTTTTTTCTATCTTATCTTGTTTTTCTGAGATCAGACTTATCATAAAATTATTGATTTTACAGACGATTTGGACTCTGGACGACAAACGGAATTAATTTAGGTTATTTTCATTCACCTGGAGAAACTTTTTGAAGCTTCATTTCTCAAAAACAAGACATCAACTGCTTTAAGTTCACAGTTCTTTTTTGTTAACAGAACAAACACTGATCAGCTGCAACAGTAAAACCAGCTGCCTGATACTGTGTCGGACTCTTTTCATTCCTGGAAGCTGTGAAGCTGAGCCATAAATCAGACCAAAGACACTCGATTAGACTGAGATCTGTAGAATTGAAAGGCCGAGTCGACTCCTTAAACCCACGTTTGTAGTATGACAGAGAGAAATATCCTGCAAACACTGAACGCTGCAGCTATGAAGACAGGAATGTTTAGGAGTCAAAGTAACGTCCGCATGACCGACGGAAACCGAGTGAAAACATCCACAAGCTCTGCTGGCCCAGTGACTGATGGGGTGAGGAGGGTGAGGAGGGTGAGGAGGGTGAAGAGGAGGAGTTTCTCTTTTCAAACTGAAAAATGCTCCTCAACAGTCTCAACTCTGCTGTTTGTTTGTTCTAACGGGCAGCAGCGCTCCAAAAAAAAAAAAATCTCCAGAAGAATGAAGGAAAACAAACAAACACATCGACAATAAAAGATGAAAAAAAACAACCCATTCTGAGGTTTCACCATTTTTCTGCAGATTAAACTCTGAAGGGTTCATCCTCTGGACAGCAGGATGTTTAATCCAAGCCTTTATATTTGAATCTACATTTAAAATCAGCAGAAACAGTCTGACTCATCTGGTGGGAAACACAAATATGAGTTCAACAGTCTGATGAGAGTTTTGTTAGAAACTATTTGATTTAGTTTCAGGACTTTGGGTTCAGTTTTCTGAGGAACTTTTCTATAAAAATGATTCCTGCTGATGAAGTTCTGCTGATTATTAAAACACAAGCAGTTGAACAAGTTCAGTCACTTTATGTACAAACTGATCCAACAAATATCAGGGTTTAAAAAGCTCTGAGTGACGATTCGTCTCTGTGAGTGTTTGGAGACTTGAAACAGAAGCTTCACAGACTAAAAACAACAAACTAACGATCAAATGACCATTATTGTCTCAGTTTTTAACAGATCAGTCGTTTGGTTTGTAAAATGTGAGGAAATAATGAAAAACATCTGTGAGTATTTCCTAAAGATGATAAATGTCGTGTTTTGTCCAAAGATGTTCAGTTTACTGTCGCAGAGGAGGAAAGAAACCAGAAAACATTCACGTTCAGAAGCTGAAATCAGAGAATTTACGTTTTTTTTTAGATAAAAAATGACTCAAATTGATTCATTTATTATGAGCTTCAGGAATTCAAAGAAAATTAACTCAATATTCACATTTAAAAAGCTGCAATTAGAGAATTTGGACATTATTTTAAATAAAAAATCCCTCAAACTGATGAACTGATTATCAAAGCAGCTGCTGATGACCGTAACAGTCGACATTTATCTGATGTTTGTTGCAGCTCTGAATAGAAATGCTTAGAGTCAACATTTGTGTTGGTTAATAAAAGAGAACACGGATGTGGTTTGATGGACGTTTCTTCAAACAGACTGAAAGACACATTTTTTTATCATGTTTTTCTCTGAATAATATGAGAATCTGCATTTGTGCAGGTGGAGTTTTAGTATTTAACGCTGCACATTAAGCAGGAAGATATCAGTGAGTTTGTATTTTCTGTGTTTCTACTCTGAAACTTGCCAACAGTGAAGTATGAAGCAAAACTGCATTTAAATATTCTGATGTTTGATAGTTACTGGTTCTTACATGAGACACATTTGCTGTTATTTTTGTATTTGCATTAAATAAAATCTCATATTTGGAGGTTTGTTTCAACTGTTGGTCAAACAAAATGAGATAATTAAAGACTTAGTTTTAAAGAATATTGTTGGTAAATTAAATGATTAATAAGCGTAACTGTTAGTTGCTGCCCTATTAATAGAGAAATCTAATGATTTGGACACAAACTGTTCAGTGGAGATTTTATATGATATAATGAGATAAACATAACAGGATTTTAAAAAGTAAAAAATATTTAAATTCATTATAATCTCTATAATGGGCTGCAAGGTGGAGCAGTGGTTAGCACTGTTGCCTCGCAGCAAGAAGGTCGGTTTGCGTCCTGGTGAGGACACCCAGGATCTTTCTGTGTGGAGTTTGCATGTTCTCCCCGTGCAGCGTGGGTTCTCTCCGGGTTCTCCGGCTTCCTCCCACACAGTCCAAAAACATGTTGAGGTTAATTGGTGATTCTAAATTGTCCGTAGGTGTGAATGTGAGTGTGCTTGGTTGTCTGTCTCTAAGTGTAGCCCTGTGATAGACTGGTGACCTGTCCAGGGTGTCCTCTGTCTTCGCCCTGAGTTAGCTGGAATAAGCTCCAGCTCCCCATGACCCTAGTGAGGATTAAGTGGTGTATAGATGATGGATGGATGGATAATCTCTAAAATATTTCTGATTTCTTTGATGACTTTCTCCCTTGGTACCTCTGTGATAATAAATCTAATTATTCTTATTTCCAGAGCATCTTCTGAAACAACCTGAGCTACCTGAAATGCTGAACATGTGATAAAAACCGACAGAAACACAAATTTGTGCAGAAAAACAACAACACAGAAAACAGAACAAAAAGCTTTACATTTTTAAAATAAAAAATGTATAAAATACCGACATATTTATACCACTGAGAGCAAACAAAGTCCATTGAAAACATGTACATTTCGAGATTTTTCCTTAACAAAAACAAAACAAAATCTAATAAACTGGACTCAGCCTTGTACTACGGTCAGTGTTTTCTAATATTGATGAACTCCCCCCTCTGTGTGGACCCTCCATCCTGTGTTTCCCATCATGCCTTGCAGCAGCTGCAGCCTGCTGGAGCTGCTGATGTTGGAGGAAAACGCATCACAGGAAACTGGATCGAACCACTTTCACAGAAAAACGATACTGCTGAGCTTCACTTTCATTTTTGCCCAGAAAAAAACACACAGGTTCACATTTTACAGCCTTTACTATCATTTAAGGACTTTTGGTTTATTCATCTTTATTTATTTTAATATATTTTGTTGCATCTTACTGAAGATGCGCAGCTTTATTAGACGCTCATAATGTCCTTAATGTTATTATTTCGGTATAATATTTCTGTTTTAAGCTGCTCAGAAGTGAACTATATATGATTTTTTAATATATTTTAAAATATATTTCTTCTATAATTTTGCTCTAATGTTTAATAGTGCGTCGTTAATACATAGAACAGTAATATTAATACGTCTACTGTATCCTGTTTGATGCTTTCTGCTATTTTAACTGCATTCTTTCACTATTTCCCTCATAAACTACATCTGGTTGGCGTGTTTTGATCATATTTAATTTCTGTAATACATTAAAAGTAAAAGTACAGTTAAAATGTATTTTTTTTAAATCGTATTTTATTATGTAAATAAATAAAGGAAGCCACTGACGGTCATTTCTAAGAAAATAACTGTTTAAATGTGTTTTTAGGTTCAATTAAAACATATTTAAAATACTTCAGTTAGCTTAAAATGTCCAAAAAAATTAAATTGTACAAGTTTTCGGATCATATTTTATATTTTTATGCTGATTTGGACAGAATGTGCGGACAAAGAGAAAATAACGGTGCTGAAGATGAACTCACCGGTTAGTTTTCCTCCAGATATCCTCACCGGAAGTCGATAAAAACTGTTTTTCCTCGAACTGTTTCTTTCGCTTTTCCTCTTTTCTGGACTTTTCTTGGGTGAAAAATGTTTAATTTCGCCTCCAGCAGAATAAGAAAACTGCAGCTCTTCGGCTGTCTGAAGCTTTCTGAGCCCCGCCTGCGTACCGGAAACAGCTGTCAAACACGAAACATAACAACAAGGGCTCCTGTAGGGCCTTTCAAAGTAAAAGCATGAAGATGAGCGAAACGCGCATTTCAAGGTAAAAGCACAAACATGAGCGCAAATATTCAAAATAACTTAATTCAAGTGATATATGCTTAAACAACATATTAAAAACAGATATTCAGCGACATGTTTATTGTTCTATTATTTAGGATTATTATTTTTCATTTTAATAAACGTCTTTATCAATGATTATCAAAATGTAGATGTTTCCTCACCAACATTTAAATAAATGAATGAAGAAAAAATAAAATTGCTTTTTGTTTGGACAAAACTATTCATTTTAGCTACTTATGTGACCCAGCAGGGTTGCACTAATTTTTCCTCCTTTGAGAGAAGTGCTTTTGCTGAATTATAGGAGAAACATGACCAAAAAAGAAAAGACAAAATAAAAGGTAACAGCACAGTCGAGAAAATAAAGACTTCAAGTAGGATTCGAGGAGCCTGGTCATTTTTGCTCAGGTCACCTCAAAAAGCAGCAATTTTCACAGAGAAACCTCCTCAACAGTGAGTTTACTATTAATACTGGATCACAGTTTAAGCAGTTCCTAAAACATCTAACATGTAATTTACTGTCATAAAGGAGGAAAGACAACAGAACATATTTAACATTTAAGGAGAGGATTTTTTCCCCTAAAAAATTCTTTAAAACTGACTAATTTATCTTAAAAATAGTTGTTAATTAATCTGGTAGTTGATGATGATTTGATTGAAGTTATTTCACAGTTTTTTTAACTTGATGTACATAAATAAACATTAAATATTTAGAATGTCTGTCTCTGCGCAACCAGTTGCCCTCTAAAGTCCTATAAATACAGATGAATAGAAGTTTAACAGGAAATGTAAATCTTAAACAAAGAAATACACAAAAATATAAACAAAATACTGAAAAAAAAGTGTGTCAGACTGCTAGAAATAAATGTTTAAGTCTTTATCAGGACTGTTTGCTCCTTGATGTGTTTTAATTGATCATAAAGCACCTTCTCCTGGATTCCATTTTTATGTTAACTGGAGAAACCACGCCTTCTATTAAACGCTTTATTTTCCGTAAAACATTTTCACAAAAACCGAACTACACAGTTACAATGTGGCATTTTTTTTGTTTGTTTGTTTTGTTTTTCTAGTGTTTCATTTGTGCCCAGAACTGATTGTACTGATTGTATGAGAACTCATGTCAACATTTTACAAGGTTAAAAGTTCAAAACCAGTCAATTGCTCTGCAGTGCTGCTGACATCTAGTGGCCATTTTACAGAAATACATCCATCCATGATCTGTACACCGCTTAATCCTCATTAGGGTCTTGGGCGGCTGGAGTCTATCCCAGCTGACTTAGGGTGAAGGCAGGGGACACCCTGGACAGGTCACCAGTCTATCACAGGGCTACACTTAGAGACAGACAACCAAGCACACTCACATTCACACCTACGGACAATTTAGAATCACCAATTAACCTCCACATGTTTTTGGACGCTGCAGGGTGGCGCAGTTGGTAGCACTGTTGCCTCGCAGCAACCGCAGTTGCCGGTTCGCGTCCCGGTGCGGGCACTGGAGTCTTTCTGCATGGAGTTTGCATGTTCTCCCTGTGCAGCGTGGGTTCTCTCCGGGTCCTCTGGCTTCCTCCCACAAGGTCCACCCTAGTGAGGATTAAGCGGTGTATAGATGATGGATGGATGTTTTTGGACTGTGGGAGGAAGCCAGAGAACCCGGAGAGAACCCACGCTGCACGGGGACAACATGCAAACTCCACGCAGAAAGATCCTGGGTGTCCTCACCAGGACGTGAACCGGCGACCTTCTTGCTGCGAGGCAACAGTGCTAACCACCGCTCCACCCTGAAGCCCCATTTTACAGAAATGTAATTAATATTTAGAATAATTAGAGAATTATTTTTACTGCCGTTGCGAAGATTGCAGTGAAATCAATCTTTAAAAACAGAAAACAAAAAAAAAATGGAAAAAACTAAATTAGCCTCATAAAGACACAAACAGGATTTATCAACAGCATAAAAATTTATTTTATCTTCATATACATGGAAATATACAAAATAATATCAGTTAAAAAAAAAAAAACAACAACTAAATTTGTGTCATTTGAAATGACTTGAAATGTTTCCATTTTTGTGACTGAATGAAACTGTTTTTTTTTTTTTTGTAGAAACACTTAGTAAAGTTCTCAGCTGTTCAGTCCTGTGTGTTCTGGTTCCGACCCGCTAAACGAACGGTCCGGCGGCCGGTTCGGGGATGTTGGTTGCGTGCATATCGCGCGTCATGTTGGACTTCTCCTTGAGCTTTGCCTGCAGCAGCGTGTGCTCGACGACGCCGATCCTCACGTCCATCTGAACGATCTCCTGCTTCAGCTTCGTCAGACTCTGTTTGATTTTCACCACCGGAGCTGCAGAGACGAGCAGAAAGGCAGCCGGTTGACAAAAACAACACACAAAAGCGCACAATGCAACACAAACAGGAGAGCTGGTTCGTGCTGATTCACCTCCGTCAGACATGCTGCTGCCTTTCTCTTCCATCTCTTGCTTCACCTTCTCCAGCTCCTCACTGATCTGAAACAGGAAGAAACACTAAGAGTTCAACAACTCTGCTTGAAGAAACAACTTAAATACAAAAAAACTGCCTGAAGACCTTCATGAATCTTCACTGAATATAATTTATGACCTGTTTCACCTTCATGTTCAAATCTTTACAGCAAAAATCACTTCATAATTTTTTGTTTTAGTAGAAAAGAAATGAAAAAAAAACACAATTAAGTGACAACTCACATTATATCTGTCAGAAAAAAATCATAAAACAATGATCCATCCATCCATCCATTTTCTATACACCGCTTAATCCTCACTAGGGTCGCGGGGGGGCTGGAGTCTATGCCAGCTGACTTAGGTCGAAGGCAGGGTAAAACAATGATGTTTTTGCAAATTATTTTTTATTCCAAATGTTTTATTTACAGTTTACATGTTTTATGTTCTTTAATGTGTTTTATCTTTTTTCTCTGACTTATTTGTTCTAAATTAACTGATTTTATTTTTAATTTTGTCCATTTCCATTGTTAAATTGTTTTCACCATCATGTCATCCAAATATGAAAGAATAATGGAAAACCAGAAGGTACAAAATAATGTTTTTTACTATATGACCACATTTCCAGCTGCGTGTGATACCTTAGAGATTATATCGGCTTTGTTTCATCTCAATTCACCACATTTTCACAACAATTTCTGCTCGACCAGCTCTGATTTGTCTGAACTTTTTTTTAGCACAAATATGGGTCTTTATAAAGATATTAGTGACACTTTTGGAGGTATTTTAGTTTTTAATAACTGCCCGTTGACCCACTTTAAGCAGGTTTTTTCCTCACATTGAAATTTGAGGCTGTTTGAACACAGTCTCATGTCTCTAGTTGGAGCATCCTCGTCTCCTCCATCCTCGTCTCCTCCATCCTCCTGCTGGTGGAATTAATCTCAACATTATCAAAAACGAGAGGCAGTTAGCAAGACAACCCCTAT